CCTTCCTGATCTTTCATCTTCAACCCTTACTAATTGGGTCCAACTTTTGATCTGATTGGCTTATTCCTCTTTCCTTCTTCCTCCCGGAATTTGTTCCATTTGTCTTTTCATCAGATTAGACACCTCAACTTTTCCCTCACTTCTCGTTTTCATTGTCCATTGGAGTAAATTCTACAATCAGGCATGTGTACCATGCCCAATACATTCTTCTCCCATTATCTACATCTTATTGTGGTTTCTTCTTCATCTGTTTTTTGTCTTCCACCTGTTGCTGTTCTTCAAACTTTGGTGCGACTCTGATTGGTAAGTTTCTATTAAGTTTTTTTTTTTATCAGGGGCCTTTTTTTTCTTTATTCCTTATTATATCGATCTCGCTCTGTGGCGAGTGGTGCCTGACCAGGTATTCTTTAACTTGAAATCTACAGCCATGTTGACTCATACTTTATATTCCATGGCTTCTCAATGCTCACCATTGAGATGGGGTGTTTCACAAGATTGCTTCTGGATGAATAACCATGCTATATTTTGCTTCATAAACATGCACGTCCCAGACTGTACCACCCATGGACTGCCTGGGTAAAGCAGAAGGGGATAGCTACCCATCCCTGCCATGCTGTAGTGAATAGCTCGGTATGGTCTGCTTTTCAAAATAGAGTTTTGTAGTCACCCATGATGTTCCTCCAGACTCTCTACCACCTTTTTGCCCTCCTTTCTTCCAGTGGAGTATGGGAGTCCTTACCACTTTCCAGTTCCAAGCTGCTGGGGTGGTTGGCAAAGATAGCTATAACCATTCAGTACAGAGTAGAGAGGTGGTGTTTTGCAGGTGTAGAGGACGTACTGTCCTCCTCTTTGCAATATATAATTATGAAGGAATGATACGTCAAAATGCAGTTCACCCTTTCGAGTGGAAGCTCTCATCCTACCCCTGCACAGCTGTCGGTACCCTGCGGCTGGGTTTTGGATATAGAGTAGAACCAATCACCATAAGTCCTCACATGTTTTGGGTTGTCTGTCTTCCTCCATCGATTTTCCTCCATTTGTGTTGTGGGTCACAGAAGTGGTATGTGGGATTATTACGGTTCTGTCCTTTGGTTCTCCCTCGTCCTATCTTAATACGGGGATGTTATTGCCTTTTGGATGGTTCCGGTAAAGTTCCCAGTTGGGGGATTTTATTGCATGTGATAGACATCCTTTTGATACTGGATCAATAGCTCAGTGCTAATACTTGTGTCATACCTGGGAGACAGCGTGATTCTCAATCCCCCAGTCTCTTTAGTTTGAGGTAAAGACGGTATGATCTTCATCCTATTCCCGCATGGATGTCTGTTCCCAGCGGCATGGGTTTCGGATGTAGTTGACTTACCAAGTACGGTTCGTTGCTCCCTAGCCACTCTACACCAGAAGGCACATCCATTGTTTTACTCACTTTTCTATTCATGGGATTGAGCTATATTTATTTCTATGGTTAGAATCACAATCCTGACACAGTTCTCTCCAACTTAGGTGTGCTCCTCTCTCTTTCCACCTTTATCTTCTCCACATTTCACAGAGGAGTGAAGACTATACCTGGTTCAGAAGTGGTGCGGTTCCTCCTCTGATCTGACTCTCATTTCCTGGGGTATTCTTCAGATGCTTTTGGGGGGTACTTCTACCATTCCCTCGCACTGGTCCCTCATCCTTTTAAATGTGGGATTCCGGTGCTTAAGCCTTCTGCCAAACTTTGAAGTGATAGTTCGGTAGAGGAGTATAGAGAGAGAGAGTCACATGTGTCACATGAGCATGTCATGCTCCTATAGGTGGAGAAGTGATGCATGATGATTTGTAAGAGACACACGTTGGAATCTTTCAATTCCAATAGGGGAGAGCAGAATGTTTGTGGCATGTGTAAAGAAAAAGTTCATATACATAGAGGGCAGCACTGAACGAGAATAACTAATTTTGTGAATGAAGGTATCTATCAGAAATACATTTTCAGTATAGGAAAATTATAACTTCTCAGTCTTTCCAAAAAATGTGATAATTCTTTCTCACATTTGCTATTGGATTATTTATAACCACCCATACTGAGTTCTGTAGAAGGCTATCTCATTTTCTTACTAGGTTTTAAATTATTTGGCCTACAGATTTATTGTTGCTATTGCCAAGGTAACCTCAACAAAGTAAGGGAATCATTTTAATTCAATAATTGTTTAATTAGAAAGGCAGTTAAATTATAGTAGTTTTAGATCATTGTATTTTTTTGCAAGATTTTGTGTTTTTAATGGTACATTTAGAATAAATAAAAATTACCTTGCGTACTACTACCATCATTACAAAAAAAATAGGGTTAAGTTTTGCTAAGGGCCAAGAGCAAAAAATACAAAAAGCTAGACATAATAACTAAGTTTTTTGTTTTTGTATTTATATCTTTTATTTATTATTATAAAAGTAACTAAGGTGTAAAAATAAAAAAAAATTGTTGGGTTAGATTAGAAAACACAAATGAAAAACATTAAATAGAAAATTTCTTAGTGAGGTATGTACATGAGCTCCTTTTGCATTACTTTGTTTACTATAACTTTATGTGTTTGCAAGGTGATTTATAGTTTTGTAAGCAGGTTTATTGGTTACACATTGTTTAAAGCTTAGAATAAATATCTGTAATATTCTGTTCCAATTTGCAGTCTTTCTAGAAAGAAAAATCAGAGTAATTCAGATTTATTTCATATTTTTTTTGGTGGTTACAAGGAAATTCAAATGGACCAAGCCCATATAGTGTTGTTGTAGAGAAAATAACAAAAGAAATATAAAGATTTGCTGGAAAAATGCTTTTTATATTCATTTAT